CAACATCAACATCAACATCAACATCAACATCAACATCAACATCAACATCAACATCAACATCAACATCAACACCAACAACAACAACAACAACAACAACAACAACAACATCTCCTACTAGTAATAATATTAATGATAATACTGAAAATACTTCATCGAATGATGCACAAATTCAATTATCAGCAAAAAAAAAAATTTACTTTACTACATCTATTACGATATCATTACGGCAAAAGATATTGACCCAACTCTTGGAGGAACACAAGGTAATGGAATGTAGTGCAGATCTTGTGAAAACTTATCAACAAGCTTTAACAAAAGAAAGCGGTAATGTAACATCTATGCACGTAATTGACAAAAAAACTTTGGCTAGAACTGGTAATGCAATGGAAGCAAAAGGACTTCTAAAACTATATAATGTGTCATTACCCTTATTGAATGGAAATTCTCAAAATAAATTGTTATTTCTTCATCCAAGCATGACATCCTCAAGTCCTCAAGTAAAAGAATATGTCGCAAGACTAAAAGATAAAGCAATACTTATAGGAAAATCATGCAAGCCAACTAGGATTGAGGATATGAATCTTGAAGTAGAGCCATTATCAGAGATGCAAAAACGTTTTGCAACTGAAGCTGCAGCTGCTAATAAAGATGATCATCAACTTTTAATTAACAGTGATAACAACAATAACAATAATGATAACAATATAGCTCAATCCAATGAGATGTGGTGGCTTCATACTGCACGAAATTATGGTTGGATCAACGCCAAGATGATTCGTGCCAAAATTTTACATCAATACCTAATTTCTAAATTCAATGATGAATCACCTAATAACACATGCATTAATAAAATCAATAGAACATTTCAAACCATAATTTTACTTCGTGATATGCCATTAGACATATATTTGAAGATTATAGGTCAAACAATTCCCAGCGAACCATTGACCGAATATGTTTGTTCTGGCCAGAGCATGTCTGTGAGTATTATTGACTTGCCTAATGAAATCCGTTCATCAATCTTTTCAGGAAATTATAAATTTCGACAAAGTTTAAAGAGATTGATTGATATTTTGGTAGCTTTGAAAATTCTTAAACCAATTCGTCGAGACTTTGATGAAAATGGTAATTCAATTTTAGATGTTAGCAATAATGAGTCAATAGAATGGTCATTGTCAAATGCAACAATATGTAGTCCACCGCAAACATTGTTGGCACCAGCCTATCAACTCATTTATAATGTCCCGATGATCGATTTTTCCATTCCTGGCGTTAATAGACCTATCATACGAAATTATCCGCTAGACACGATAGAAGATGTTTCAATTTATTGGAGCGAATTGCAATATGTCGCTCAACAAAAAATAGCAGAAGTAGCAGCAAATAAAAGTGATGAAGAGGAAGATATTAGTGAAACTGAGGATGCGGGTCAAGAAGCTTCTGAAAAAAATGTACAAAAGAAAGGCAAAGCATCCTCTCAAAATCTAGAACCTGATCCTTTGAGATTTATTACTTCATCTTGTAATTGGAATTCTGGTTATCCATTGACAGCTAGACAAAAGAAACACCTTGATCATTATGTTGATAGTAAAAAGTCTAAAACACCATTTGAAGATGACGTTTTGTGTCGTCAAATTGCACAAGAGTCTAGCCTTCCATTTCAAAGAGTAAAAGCATATTTTAGAAGAATTGATGAAAGCTTTGAAAAGAAAAACAAAGAAGCCAAGGCAGCAAAACAAAGAGAAAGAAGAAACAAAGTTGCCGCAAGATCCAAGAATTATGTTGGTATTATTGCATCAGCAAATGGTGAACCGACCTTCAGAAGAAAAAGGAAAGTAACAAATGGTAATAATAAGTCTGGACTAAAAAAATCGACAAATGATTATCAAAATCTTGGTGAAAATAAAGATGTCTTTCAATATGATAAAACCAAAAAAAAGAAACATCAAGATAAACAAGATTATAATGAGGAACAAGGTTCGGCCACTATTGCTGATGAAGGTAATTTAAATTTTCTTTTATATAAAATATATATATATATATATACACATGTATATACAAATAAAAAAACTCGAATACTGATAAAAAAATATTTTTGGATTTATTACCAAAGATGAAAATAACTCACAACGACGTCCTGTCTGGTCTACTCAGGAAGATGAAATTCTTCTTTACGCTTATGTCATTCTTAAAATTCGATCACAAAAATTTAGATTCTTATGGGGAGCAGTATTAAAATTATTTCCAGAGAAAACCAACGAGATGTGTCGCCGTAGAGTAAATGTTTTAATGAGAAATGCAGCTACTGTTGAATATATAAATTATTTGATGAGTAGATGGGAAAAAATATATAAAGAGGGCGTGAAGAAAGGGGAAATTATTGATCCGCATCATTCTGAAATGATAGAGTTTGATCTTCCAGAACAAGTAGATTATTTCATAAAAGCATTACAAAATTTGTCAAGGTTAGATTTCATATTTCAATATTCGAATGATAATTTTATTTATATTAATTTCTAATTATTGTTTCTAATGATATTCTTAAAGAAATGATGAACCAATTCCAATAATTTTATTGCCTTCTGATATCCAAACTTTATATAAGCATTTCGTAATTTTATATTCATCACCAACTCATAATCAGGATATATATTACGAGGATAAACTTTCGGGGTCCTCATTAAGAAAAAAAATGAGCATTCTATATTCTCATTCTTTTACATGCCGATTTAATAATCAAAACAGCGTAGACTATTTTAATATTGAAAATCTTACAGAGAAAGATATTAAATTAGAGGCAATTCAAGCATTAATTAAGGTAATGAGAAAATTAAAAAACACACGAGTTTTTTTGAGTCCATTTTATAATACTTTTACTTTATTATTATTGTAGATCATTCTTATGACACCAGAAGATCAATATGATTCTTCACATGCTTTCTCCATTCTAAACTATTATCCAGAAGTGCTTGTAACCGAGTCTCTTGAATTGATTAAAGATACGGGTGTAATTGTTAGAGTAAAAGCAGGAAATGATAGAAGAGTGCCTGGAAGAGGATATCATGTTTCTGACAAGTAAGTTATAAACTTTTTCTTCAAGGTATACAATATGTATATTATATTCATACATGATAATAATAATTATTTTTTTTTTAATTATACACAGGTTTTTGTCAGTGATCTCTGGTTCATTGCCGGATAGATTTTTTTCTCAAGCCATTGATTTCTATAGAAAATTCAATGATGTTATTCTATTTGAAAGATTTTCAAATAGTGGTACAATGGCATGTATATTGGATTTGTTATCTTCACACAAGGTAATCAATAATATAATATTTTGAATTTTTATTATGATTAAAAATATTTTTTTGAAAATCTATATATGTATGTATGTATATATATATAGCTTATCCTATCACCAGCCAATCCAAATGACACTTTGTTTACAAAATGTGTTATCCCAGATCATAGAAGTAGAAAAATTGGTTTGTATTTGTTCAAAATTAGAATGAATTAACAAAACATAATTAATTAAGCCGGGGGGTTTTTTTTTAATGAATTAGAACCATCACGACTCCATTATGACTTATTTTTAAAACCTAATCTGAACGCCTTTAAAGAAAGAAATAACAATAAAAATATTGAGAACAAGCTTATCAAGAATATATATTTGGTTAAAGACAAGGATGAAGCTTTAACTATTTTAAAAACATTACTTGATTGTCTAGATCAAGAATCGCAAGAAGGTGTTAAAGATGTTTTTGAAACCATTCTTAGTTCCAATCAATTGGGTATTTCATTAATATCATTAAAGGTAAATTTATGATAGAATTATAATCATATTTGTAAAATTCATTACCTTATTAATTTCAAATATATATATTATTTTTTAAAGGAGCACCTTGATATACCTAATGATGATTTATTGAGATATATTGGTCTGTTAGAATCACAAAATCCAAGTCTAATAATGAATGTGGGCTTTAATAATTCTCGTTATGTGTGCACATTTTACGCAAAACTTTGGTTAGTAAAAACAAGTCGAGCACCTGTGTCTAATCCAGCAAAAAGAGTAAAATATGATTACACAATAACAGAAAATGCTTTACATGTTGGAACAAATTCAACAACAATTCAATCAACTGGTACTAGTGGTAACAGATTAGAAACAAAGTATCATCAACAAGATGAAACCTATACTTTGACTAGAATGTGGTGTGATATTAATGGAAATTTTATTGAATCAGTTTTTCGTGGTTGTCTTGAAGCTGTGCTTGGAACAATAATTCAGAAACCTGGAATCTATGAGGTATGTATTTATATACACATTTATTATATATATATATTATTTGTCTTCTATTGGCTAAAATTATAATGACAAAAATTTAGTCAAATATATATCGAAAACTTGCACTTGTTATGTCACGTTGTGAAATTCAAGATATATTGGATGAATTGACAACAAGAAAAGCTGTAATGAAAACATCTTTTATAAAGCCTCCGAAAGTTACATTGTTTTCCAAACCACGAGAATTTAAAAATTGTGGTACGTACCATCCGTTATTTATGTATATATTTTTTAAACCTTGAGATTACATATAAATTAAAAAAAATTTCTATTTTTTGGATTAGACATTACTTGTGTAGATCCAAACAAAATCACTTGTTATTGGCCACAAAATGAATATTACCTTCTGTTAAAAAATAATTGTTACACATAACTTCAATTCAAATTAAATTTTTTATTAATAAATAACAAGTTAAATAATTGCATATTCAATCTGAGAAATGCTTTAATACTGATTGTAAGAAGCTAGCCTTTATATAATTTTCCAAAACAATTATTATCAATCAGATAAATATAAAAGATATTAATTAGTGTAATCTTTGATACTTAATTGGAATTCACAGGTTGGGGAGATTTGTGGATTTATCTTGCTGGTGTAAACACAGAATCTGGAATTACACCAATATTTAATAATTCCATTTATTTGGATTTGAAGCATCCATGATAATCCCATATAAAGTTTTGGATTATTATTTATACTCCTGTACCATGTGCAATATTGGCTAAATGGTTATTGACCTGATGACATCCAAAAACATCCTCAGCGATGCTTTAATTTTTGATAAATAATTTGAAAATCCCATTATTAAAGATATTCTTTTGTGATATCATTGATTTGCATCATTTTTAAACTAAAAATTATCATTAACTAATAATCAAAAATTACATCAGAAATCTTTGCAACGTCTCTAACATTCATACAAGTAGCTCTATATATAGTTGCAAATCCACTCCACCTAAAGAAATCAATATTCATCATTAAATACTGTACTTTTAATCTCAATCCTTGGTTAATAATTGTGATCACAAGATTGATGCCAAAAATTGTTATAATCTGCCTTATTTATCATTTGCACCAATATTTTCAACTTGCATAATGTTCTAATTTTAAATATTATTTTTTCATTTCCTCCAATATAACAAAATAAGTGAGTAGCAGCAGCACAATTGTTTGTATCAATGTAATAGTACAGCGCCGCTGAATCAAATTTGTTGTTGGTTGGTCCCGTCATGGCCAATACCATATCAAATTTACAAATTTCAATGCTGGATACTCTATTGTAAAATTATAGTATTATTGCTTGATCAATCTACTGATTATTGTGCCAATGCCTCCAACTGGAACTGGATCATTTAGTATCATGATTGGTTTCATTCCTGAACAGACACAATTTATACTCGGATGTGTTTTGAATCGGTAGGAAAAGATTCAGTATGGTATAACTCTTGCAGAACGAATGGTATGGTATGGCATATTTTTCTGTACCAAGTCACACAAAATTTTATTCTAAATCCTTTTTTGGTGGTGGATGTGAAGGGAAGTACGTTAGATTTAGGCATTGGTATACAACCATTTTATTACACTTATACAATACCATACCATACATTTTGCAAGAGTTATACCATACTGTACTGAATGTCCCTATACTCCATACTTCCCTTCACACCCACCAAAAAAGGATTTAGAATAAAATTTTGTGTGACTTGGTACAGAAAAATATGGGCTATACCATACCATACCATACGTTTTGCAAGAGTTATACCATACTGAATCTCCCCTACTACTACCATTTACGTCCCATATATTTAATGTTAATTAATTCGTAACATGTTAATTTTATTTAAACAAAAAAAGAAAGATACTCCGCCACCAGGGTAGTTGTGACACGGCAAATGTTTGCTTCTTGTTAATATTAAATTAAATATTTTTTTTTAAATAATAAGAATGAATTCCAAATTGTTTTTCTAGTGGCGATACCAATACTAAATCAATAATGGATTAATTTCTTGCTGGTATTTTTAGTAGTAGAGGATTTTTTTCAAAAAAAGCTTAATTAATTTTCTTTAACAACACATTTTTGGAAAAGGCTTGATTTTAACCAAGTGATTTCTTTTTCATTGTTTTTTTTTACTTATAAATACAACCTCTGAACGTTTTAAAAAAAAATTGGGAGTGATCATGATCAAAAGGTTTATCGCAATCAATTTTGTGAAACGAAAATTTTCCTTTCGAAAATTTCCAGATAGTATCGTTGCCAATTCTTTCTAAATATTACCAAAATATTGCCAATCTTTTCTAAATTGTTACAAAGTATGTTGCACTATTTGATTGAGTTGTATTCTTTCGTTAAAGCTAAAAATTAATGTTTCATCATTATTAGCTATTTCTATATCCTCAAGGTAGTATGTCTTCTGGTAAAATCTTTCTTAGTTCTGTTAACAATTAATTGGTTAATACTTTAAATTTTATTTTTTTATTTTGTCATTATTTTCCTCTTGATAATTCCGGAGATGATGGCGAAACATAGATAAAGATATATTAATATCTAAAAATGAAGAAGATATTAATATATACATTTGCTGATGTATATTCTCCTTGTAAGACCACAGGTAGTTCAAGAAATAAATTACTAGCCAACTCGAGAAGTATATATGAATCAAAAAAAAGTATATCTTTTCGGCATATCTAAAAATCAGGCCATAAATTTCCTCGTCATTCAAAAGATTATCCACCCCATTTTACATATGACCTTTTTTATTTTATCCATCGTAAAATATTAATATTAGGAAATTGTTCGATTACCACAAAATTCAGAACCGCACTTTTTTTTTCTCATATATTTAATCATTTTAATAGTAGTAATAAAGAAAGATGGTTTTTAAGTATGGTTATGTAATTGGTAAATATTTTAATAAAATTAATAAATTAAATTTTTTAAAAATTAATTGTAAAAAATGATTCTTTAACAAAAAAAATGTTTTTAGGAGAACAAGTGGGTAATTTGGCAGTAACAACAGGTAGAATAATTACACCAAGCCATTTACCAGAGACAATTACTTTATCAGTTACAAATTCTTCCAGATTTCTAATTCTTGGCACAAAACCAGGTAAATTTAAATACTAAAAAAAGGGGGAAGAGATAATAATTGATTAATGTATTGATTGATTTGATTTTATAATTTATTTAATCTAATAATAATAATTGACGAAATTATTATAATAAATTTTTTATTTAGAAATCCTTGAATGGTTAAAAGACAATTCATCAATAAAAGTTGATGTTGTATTATACGATGATGCTAAAGAAGCACCACACATTCACATACCAGATTTGATAATTGATTTATTACCATACATTGACACCAAGGGTCACGAGCAGCATAATAATAATCTATTTAATTTTATTCTACCAACACATCACCCAGATTTAAATTCTGATCCAGTTAGATTAGAAATTCGAGCAGCAGTCAATCTCGATGAAACTCAACCTTATTTCAGAATTGCATTACAAAGAAATTGTACACTTGGTGATATATTAAAAGAAGCAAAGGAGAAATGGGACAATACCATATTACCTAGTTTATGGGATAATGTTAAAAAAGTTGCAATGTCGCCATTTGATTATGTTAAAGAAGAAGAAGAAGAGGATTTGAAAAAAAAGCAGCAGGATGATGATGATTACAATTATAATAATAACGAAAGTAGTAATAATAATCAAACTAATAATAATATTTATACAATTACTATTGAAAAAACATCTAATATCTAATATCTAATATATTTTTATTTATTTTCAAATTGTATGTTTAATTATTTATAAATTATTAATAATATTATTTTTTTTTTTGCAAAATTTCAAATTATAGTATTGTAATAATAAATTAAAAGAAAAAAATTTGAAATAATATTTTACATTAAATCATCCTTACCAAAAAAATTTCATTTTTTGCTAATATTCATACTATTGACCATCTCTTCAAGGCACGACGATAAGAGGTCTTGAATTATAGGATCACATGGTCTCAAGCCTAATGCCTAAAAAACTCTTTTATTTAATTTTATATTTTATTATATTTTAAAAAGTATATATAAAACATTAAATACCTCGTGATAATAATTTATTGCGTCATCATATTGTTCCTTTACATGATAAATATACCCGATAGCTGTTAGTGCGCTAGGATTTGGTGGTGATAGGTATGTTACTTTTCTAAAATACGATTCAGCAACATCTAGTTCACTTAAAATAAAATAAATAATAAATTTATATTATTATTATAAATATAAAATATATTTTATATATATATATTATTATCTCACCCTAATTTTCTATAAACATGACCCATGTTCATCCAAGTAGTCTCCCAGACTCTTTGACGACATTTCGTAAATTCTGCTGATATAAGTGCTGCTTTGAAACAATAAATAGCTGAGGGATAACTATTTATAAATATAAATATATATATAATATTTATACATTATTATTTTTTTTTGTTATTGTTGTTAATATAAACGTAAATAAAGATAACCTTCACACACCTGGATTTCTGATAATATAAAACACCCAACTCATTTAATAACAATGGATCATTTGAACATATACTATAGCTTTGCATTAAATATTCTTCAGCTGTTTTAAGATTATTTGCCAAAAGATGTTGCATTCCAATAAAAAGGTTTGGAAAATGTGATCTATTTCAGAAACCGCAAAGTATTTATTTAATAATGGGTTTTTTCCTTTCTAATTATCTATCTCCTTGTAATAATAATAATAATAGTAATAATTTACCCTTTAAATAATTTTGCTGCAGTATTGTAAGCTGTGATGGCTTGATCATGCTCTCCCTCGATAGCAAAAGAATGTCCAAATCCAATCCATGCAGGTTCATATCGCGAGTCCATAGTTGATGCCTTGCTATAACAAAAAAAAAATTTTTAATTATAATAATAAGTTATATATATAAACACGCATATATACATATTTAATCTAATTTTGAAATAGGAGAGTGTACCTACATAAAATATCTTCTGGCTTCATCATTTTGACCAATTAAATAATTATAACAACCAACTCCAAACCAAGTTACAGGCATATCTGAACAATGTTCAACAAGTTCATGTGCCAACATAAATAATTTGTTTTTATTGCGTAGTTCATGAAGACATACAATATGAATTGGAAGGCATGCTGGATTATGCTGATCTTTTTCAAGTATTCTTTTAAAAGATAAAGGAAATAATACATTAGTCAATAGATTAAAAAAGAAAAAAACAAATAATAATGATGATTTAACATACTTTGAGGTGATTTTGTAGCACTCTTCAAATTTACATTGGGTGTATAATTCATCTGCATAAGTTAATAATAAATCAGTATTGTTTGACAATTTAAAATTCTTCTCTAATTCATTACGTGATTCTTGTATTAGTTGCAGATTATCATACTATCAATTTATTATTATTAACAACAACAAAGAATATAATTAATAATAATGAAATAAAATTGGTGAAAAAAAAAAAAAGTTTTATAAATACTTTTTTCAACATTGAAATATAATTTAATTTTATAAAATGTGCCTCTTCGACATCTAATTGTTCCTCAAATTTCAGTGATTTAATGAACTCCCATTCTAAAATAGATATAGATTAAACAAATTAAAATAAAGTTTTTTTTAATAATAATAATAATAATTCCACTTTTAAACACACCTTCTGCACTTGTCATCATATTATTCGAGATCAGTTCATGAAATGCCTATTAGTAATAGTAGTAGTAGTAATAATAATAATAATAATAATAATAATAAAATGTCTAATTATGGACAATTAAATATAAATTGATAATTATATAACAATAACAACAATAATAATGACCTCATAACATTTAACATCAATTTCCAATGCTTCTTTAAAGCAATTCTTTGCTTTAGCAAAATTTGATTGTTGTGAATATGCTATCCCGCGAAGATAACACATGGATGCTTCAAGCTGAAAAAATAATAATTAATATGTATTATATATGTATTATATATATAAAGGATTTGTATTTACTTGTATTCCTTCTTCTGCATTTTTCACATTTAAATTGCCATCTAAAAATAAATTTGTAAAATTATTATAAATGTTATATAGTAAATCATTTTTAGACAAAAATATTTACCTCTTGAATCGAATGGATTTTCCTCTCCAAGAATATCTAACACTTCTTGATAATTTTCTATCTTTACCTATTAATTTAATATTAAATATTAAATTATTGGATAATTAGAAAATAGCAAATTCGTTATCTTTATAATAAATAAACATTTTATATTTATGACATTTTAAAAAATGATAATACATTGATTGATCTTTCTTTAATTTTGATTTTTTGACCTTTTCAATATATTTTTTTTCTCATACTCACGCAACATTTTGCAGCCAAGAATCTGCATAAAACACTTGAATCCATCAGTTTTTGTAATAATTTTTTTGCTCTTAAATATTGGCCCATATTATAATATATCTGTGCTAGCCAGTATGCATCATTTGAATCACCTAATATTAATAAAGTACAAAAAGTTTGAAAACATTAATTAATAAAAAAAATTTTTAAAAGTTAAATTTACCTGTCATTGTTAAAACTTTATTTCCCCAAAAAGCAGCAGTCTCTAACAAGTTTTTTAGATAAGCGTCATGTCTCCATAATCTTAATTTATCTTCTAATTTTAAATTAGAAAAAGTAATACTGCTCGCATTACTATTCCTAGAATCACAATATGGTGATATGTCGAACATGGTTGATTGATCAATCCTGCACCAAAAGTATTAGCACTTGTTTATTTTGGAAAAGCTCTTTTTTATACAAAAAATTTCCCAAAGATAAATAATAAGATTTAAAAAATCTTCTATTATCAATTTTCGTGTATATCATTGCTTATCTTAGCAAAACACGATAAAATCAGATGATCTGCACATGAATATTATTCTCGTAAATGTTTTTTATTATTATTATTATTATTTTGTGCAGGTTTACTTTGTTTATCTTATGGTATTTATATTTCTCTAAACATAAATATGAAAAGATTCATCGGTTAGTTTTTACATATTCATGAACCAATAAATAAAATAAGATGCACACATTCATTCTCAGTATAAAGGAGTAAGCATTTTTTTAAATAATAATGTTTTATAAAAATCAGAGAAAGAAAAAACCATCCAGAGTGATGTATATATTAATATATATATATGTAGGTCAAATCTAAAAATAAAAAATCTCTCCATATTATCAAAGGATTTGTTTGTGCTATCGCGTAATGTTGTTTTAATCGTTTCTTATTCCATATGATTTTAATTATCCAATTAATTGCTTTCATAAAGATAATTGCGGTAATTAATCAAAAGTATAGATTAGGTTAATGTTCTCAATAGAAGTCTCAGAGATATTTTGAATAATGATAATTTTAATTATCTAATTATCAAATGTTTTTGTGATGTCTCATTCAAGTATTTGATTAGTATGCTATCACTTTTCAGCTGTTCTGCATCTACTTTACTCACTTCTCGTTACGACTTGAAAATTGGTTAACCTTACCTTTAAAAGTTTGTTCTGCCTAATTGGGTATTTTATTTTTTTCTCCAAAAGAAAAAAATGTATACAAAAAATATTTGTATTGATTGAAAAAAGTATATTGTAAATTAATTATGAATTTTGTAATGATTTAAATTGTAAAAAATAAAAATATTTTTTGGGAATTATACATTTGTATAAATAAACATTTTATAAAGTAACCATCTAATGTCAGTTTTTTATGTGGATAGTTTGTCAGCTTAATAAAGATTTAAAACTTGGCTTTTAGTTGTGAGGTAGATTAAGGATCAATTGTAATCATATGTATAAAGAATTTACAAATAAAAACAGAGCAGAATATTCAGTAAATGTTGTATTGGGATTGAAGGATGTACCTTTGAAATTAGAAATACAAATATCTTTGATTTTTGATTGGAGAAATAAACCAAAAGATCCCACATTAGATTGCAAAAATTTACTGAACCATATCAAATTGGAGTCTTGAGTGATCCTCTAATGATTACACAAAAAGTAATCTATTGATGTAAACATCAGAGAATGAATGGCAAACAAGAGATGTGTTATTTTTTTATTTTATTGTAATCATACATTAGGTATCAAAAGATTTAATTACATGTGCAAGAATGTGTAGTAAACTAATGGACCTGGTGGCATTACATTATCCAAATCTAGATTTTAAAAGGAAAAAAACAATTGAGGGCAAAGAAAAACAATTTATGACCAGATTGGCAAATTGACTATTTAAATATAGAGAATCTTGATTGGTTGTGTTCAACGTGTAATACACATGGATACTAAAATAAAGATTTAATGACCTTAGCAATGTCAGATATCATGGATAGAAATATGCAGGTATATTTATTATAAATCTTTTATTGAGAAAGAATACATTAAATTTATTTTATATATTAACAATTATTATTTTCTAGTAGAAATATAAATCTTCATATGCATATTTGTTAGGACTAAGCAATAAGCACCAGTAAGAGTTTGAAACAAAAAATTGAGCTTTTCAATAGCAGTGTATGGAGAGCGTTTGGCTTTTGCATTTCTTTGAAGAAAATGAATTAGAGCTGATAATAAATTTGTGACACAAAAATATCGATATAAGCACCACCCACGGTTTTGTTGACCAAAAAGTGGTGTTTATGTTTTAGACGATACAGCACTTTCTTAGTTCGTTAAATTCATAGTAGTAATAGGTCTGGCACAGCAAATTTTATGTATTTATCGAATTATGCCATTATCGAGAGCCGCTTCAATTTCATAATACAGCTAGGAAACAGGCAACAAAGTACTTAATTTTTCCTGTTTGGAATGCAAAACTCTGGTAAAAATTTGGAAGAGCCGGCCAAAAAATTATTTTATTGCAACCATTTAAAAAAAATATTAAATTGTGCAAAATACTTGTTTATGGATATAAATGGTCATAATGAAACTATTTATGTTCAGGTAACCATTTTTGTTTTTAAAAGTATTAATAAATCATTTATTTGTAAACTGCAAAAATAATAAATTTTTTATTTTATACAAAGAAAGAAGGAATTGGAAGAATCGATATTTATAAAACATACCTTGAGCCTCTTGATCTCGAGCTACTTTTACCAAATCCATATTCAAATAAACTCATTTTTATATAATTATAATCATTAAAATATTCCAAAAAAAGAACCTTTCTGTATATAGGATATTCCTAAAATAAAATAAAAGTTCCGTAATAGTAAGTAAATAATGATAATTTCAGCTACCATAATTACATAAAAATTCAGGTATGATAATTAAGATTAATATTGACTGTTAATATATAAAGATTACAGATGTAAACCAAGTCTCTGGTTATTTTTATACCGCTCACTTATTTTTCTTGCCAAGCTAATAATAATCACAATTCAGTTAAACTGTTGTATAGAGACCGGATAAACTTGGCTTTCTGAACTGCCTCAATAAATCTGAAATTTTAACAATCAGACACATTTGATCTTTGATGCACAAATATGCTTTGTAATAAATAATTATCTTTACGGAATTACGGTTTCCAAACTTTCTTACCGTAATTAGTTACTATTACGGATTTCTAGAACCGTAATTCTAATAATAATTGCGCGCCAATTTTTATTTATAGTTGCATTATTTTCGTTTTTTTTCCGAAAATTTTCACATTTGCGCCCTGGATATTTTTTCTATAAAAAGATAAGATCTTTGATAAAAAATTTTTACTATATAATTATTATGGCTAAAAGCTCTTCGTAAATTCTACGTTTTTCAAGAAAAGATAAATTGTTTTTGTTCTTTTTTTTGTCAATTGAAATCTAATAATCATCTGTATTTCTACGCTTAATTTGAAAGATTGAATTCATTTTTTGCAATAGTTAATATTTAAGAGAGAAAATTGAATTGACTATCTATATACAGTAATTATTATCCATATCTTAACCGTTACACAAGATACGGATTTAAAAGAGCGAGATTTTTCATATGATTATGATAGCATATAATAAAAGACTTTATCGATTGTCGAGATATTGTTGTTGTTGTTATGAAATTAACGAATAGAGTTTTAATATACACATCTAAACTCGATAAGTCGGACGCAGCAATCAATTGTTTAAAGTACTTTATAAATAAATGTCCGACTTATCGAGTTTAGATGTGTAACCGGCGTTGGCTCCTGAAAAAATGATGAATTTAGACAATTATGAATTTATCAGATATGAATTTAACGAGCTTTGACTGCATATAGTGAATTTTCATCATGCAGCATATCGATCATTATATAATAAATAAAAAATACACTAATTTAAAAAAAAAATCATCGCATAGGAAATAAATTCCTTATATTCTAAAAATGTATAGATTACTATGAAAAGCCTTGATAAGAAGTCGTTATTATAATGAATTCGTCATAGAGGTCGTGCTATACAAACTCGTAAAGAGTTAATTGGTCAAGAATCGTTTTTGCAGTTGCCAAATATTTTGACAATGTTCGGACAGGATTTTAGTTATCTTGTAAATAACTACGCTATTTGATTTATTAATTTTGGCTGCTATCAAAAACTAATCTCGACATTTCATATTTGGCAATAGTTGATACCAGTATAATCTCGGCTAACATCTATGACTGCCAGCATTGATTGGTGCACGTTATTACACCAAAAAAATTGATTAATGTGTCCTATTTTCTTATTGGGTATGTGCTACAAAACTGATCAATACTATTTTAAGGAGCTTTATAACCCTCATAAGGGCTCAGCAATTTATTGGTATGAGCAAAGTTACGCAAACGCGTAATATTTATATTAGGAAAATTAAAATTGAGTCCATAAATCTGCGATCACGTGATTTCCTTGTTGTAAACTTGTATATATTAATTAATATTTACCTGCAATTAGAAATTGTGGCTTTTATTGTAATTAAAAAAAAATAAAAGAAAAATGGAAAAAGTTGTAAAATTATTCAATACAAAAAAAACTCCAAAAAATGATAAACACAATATTTCTCCTGGTACAAATGACAGAAATGGTCCTACTAGCATGAACGATGATGATGTGTTTTCAGATAAAAGGTATGAAACATTTAGAAGATGTTCAACTTGTAAGAGGTATAATACTAGGCCTTCATGGTGTCAATCATGCGACCCACAATTATTAACTCAAGGATGGTCTAGCGGTAACGAAGCTATTGATGAATTAATAAAAAGCACACAGCTTCGGACAACATCACAATATAATAAAGATTATCTTCAATGGATTCCTTATGATGATTTAAAAGATATCGAAGAGATAGGTGAAGGTGGTTTTGCAACTATATACAAAGCTACTTGGATAAATGGTAAAAAATTTGCAAATTATGAAGATGATATGGTTGTTGCATTAAAAAGATTACACAACTCCCAAAATATTTCAGATGGGTTTTTAAGCGAGGTAAAATTTTTCATTATCAAATTTTTTTTTTAATTGAAAAAATTATCATTGCTAAATTCAATAAATTTTTTAAAGTTTAAAAATTATGTTAAATTTCATCGAATTGAACATATAATTCATGTTTATGGGGTATCACAAGATCCATCCACAAAAGAATATATATTTGTAATGCAATATATAAAAGAAGGAAATCTTTATGATTATTTATCAAAAGGATTTAAAAATTTAAAATGGAAAAATAAAATTCAAATTCTTTTAGGAATTATTGTTGGTTTAAGCGAAATTCA